TCGCTGCCACCATACCCTCTACTTCGAGCTCTGCGTCGCCTCCCTCTCTCGCTACGCCTCCTCACTGCACCAAAACCCCGTCCGCCTCGCTCGCATCGCAACAAAACTCGCCTCCTCCCGCCTCCACTCCACCATCATCCACATCTCCACCTTCCTCCGTACCAACTCCACCGCCACGGACCGAGAGGTCGCAGAGCTGAAGGACTGCGTCGACGCGCTGAAGACTGCAGACGAGCAGACGAGGATGTCGGAGGCAGAGATCAGGCGACTGGGGACGGAAGAGGGTATGGAGAAGGCAGCATGGAGGGTGTCGAACGCGCGGACGTGGATGAGCGCGGCGCTGACGAACGAAGAGACTTGTACTGATGGTTTTGATGGGGAGGAGAGGGGGACGGTGGAGGAGGATGTTTGTGGGAGAGTTGGAACGGTGAAGGAGCTTAGTAGTATTGCGCTTGCTTTGGTGAATTGTCTGGTTAATGGCCCGTGATTTAATTATATATGTTTTAGTTTTGTTGCAGATTAGTAACATCCGGCCAGTCAAATATACTTTCATGCAAGCTATAAAATGAATACTTAAGATTGATTGTTGTATACTTGTATCTATAATCTATATGGTGTTTCTTCCTTCATATATACATCTATTTTATGCTAGAAACATGAAGAAGTTACTAAAGTTTTGGCGCGTGTAAAGACCAATTGAGAAGAAGCAACGCAAGCAAGCTAAGTTACTCGTCATATGCCGGTGAAGCAAGCTATAAGTTGCATCCTATACAACACTCCTTGTAAAATTAGATACATCAATTATAAATACACTGAATTAATAGACTACCAAGATAATAAAGAAGTAATCGAAATACTATATCATACGATCATGAATATTGTATCAATGCAGTCACCGACTTCAAAATATGTAACCAACGCGCCTGTCGCAACATCCTACCCTCTAACAAGTAACAAGTGATTTCCTACAAAAATAAACAGGGGGGGATGAAGTAATCGATTCATCCGTACCAGCCAACCGGCCGTGTCTTATTCACAAACCAAATCAACCCGGCCC